AAAAATACCTGTTCCATATTATGCCTAAGATGTTTGATATGCAGACAGATAGTGAGGTTAAGCTTAACAGCCTAAGTTGTATGTTAATAACAATAAGCTTGTCTTCTGGATGGTTAACAACCTAAGCTTGCAGACCAAAATTAGAGAAAAAGGAGGGCTGCAAGGAAAGCCAACTTTTTGGCCCTAGCCTTCTAAGGTCAATGAAGACTCAGGACATATGAGAACTTGTACTGTAACATCATGTAATTCGGCAGTGTCCCAAATTTTCTGATAAAGGAGATTATGGGGCCAAAGAGGAAAGTGATTGATGATGTAGAGTGTGCCTACGGAGAGTCACATGGAGAGAAAACATTCTGTCAGGTTTTCACAGAGAGCACACTGGCCAAGCAATGGCCGTGACTCATCCACATGGCTGACAGTGACAAAGGTTCTACAATCTGAGGTACAGGATCTCATGATAAATCCTGAGGGGATTTCACTGACCTTCTCAGATCCAAAAGCTACAACTGTTGTTGCATAGGTCCTGCTTTACCTTGTTCTTAACCATCCAGCAGAAGAGTGTAAAAACGAAATATAAGAAGTAAAGCCATGCTGTTATGTTGAGCTGTAGGGGACTCAGGTCAACAATTTCTGACATTGCCAATCAAGTGGAAGACCCAATACTATTATGGGTTACTGGACTCTTTTAGAATATTTTGCTGAGTTTACACACCTATAATATTGAAATGATGGAACTTAACCAAAAAAAGGGGATACAGATGAATGTCCATTTTGTGTGTGTATTCAAAGTGGTTAGGATAGATATATAGTTACATTTTCTTAATGAATAGAGTGATTTGTTCTAATGCTGTTTGTAATAGGATATCATGTCCGCATCTTGTACAGCAATTAACCACTAAGAAGAATGTATGCAATGTTTTAATTATTGAAACTGTCCTACCAATTTGATTTGAAACTGTCTCATTGCTATTTGTTTATCAATACAATTATGGGTAAAAAAAGAAAACTGAAAAAAAAATCTAAAAAGTTTTACAAAAAAAAAGGGACATTAGAGTTTGTCTTTTATGAAGAAAGTAGAATAATGGATTAATTTTCATCTTTCAAGTAAAAGGCAGATGGCCCTTAAACTTGTTTTTACTTAAGAAACTTAAAGATTCAAGACCAAAAAAAATTGTTAAAAAATTTAAGGTAAAGTAAATAAAATTACTCGTACTTTTCCATCCAAAGAGTAGTCTGAGGGGCCAGGGAGATGGCTCAGCAGAATAAGCGCTTGCCTGGCAAGTGCAAGGGCCTAAGTTCAAACTTTCATTCCGCCAAACACACACACACACACACACACACACACACACACACACACACACACAAAACCAAAACAAACAACAACAACAACAAAAAACCAGTCGTCTGAGACCATTTTAATGCAATGGGAGTTCACATTCATTCATTCAACTAATACTGAACATCTGAACTGAGACTGCCACTATGCAACACGTTTCAGACACCAAGTGCACAGAGTCTGTCCGAAAGAAACTTACAGTACACAGGGGAAGGCATATAAGCAGCTGTTCACCAATAATAGCACAGCTTTGTGACAAATACAGTGACAATTTTGGGATTTTCAAAAATACTCAAAGCATACCTGGCGAGGTATTATTACAAGCGCTACTTCAACACATATTTTTAGATACATTTAGGTTTAAAAACACCAAGTTAATCTTAGCCTTTAAAATTACCCTGTGCTGCTAGTAGAGGATCCGAGACAGCGCAGGCTGGGAATTTATCGCGAGTCACTCTGAGAGCGGTGCACGCTGGGATTTGTAGTCCCGCTGGGACCGAACAAACGCAACTCCGTTTATCATGCACGTGGCCCCTTCGCACGTCCTGGCCCAGCAGTTAGATTAAGCCCTAATCCAAACCATAAACGAATAAACCTAAAGCATAAAATAATAAATCACATCTCATGGTAAACTCATTGCTCTTCTGTGAGGCTCTCTACCGTCAATGCTCAGAGCGCTTCTTCAACGAGCCTCAGAGATTGGCCAGTTTTAGGTTCTGGGTGGGTGCCCTGGGGACCAGGGTTTAGGATTGGCCGGCTTCTGACTGGAAGAGGCGTTTCCTCCTTTTTTTTTTTTTGCAGATTACGTGCACAGAGGCAAAAAGCAAGTCCTCTAAGGGGGCGCGCTTTGCACGGAGGGAAATCTCGCGATAGTTGAGCTAAAGGCGCTGGAAACGTCGCGAGTAGCCAAGGACCGTGGGGCTGGCGGACGGCGGTGCCTGCCAGGACAGGTCGGGCGCCGCGGACGAGTGCGTGCTGTCTCCGCCACTGGGCTCGGCCAGGGCTGTGGAGCACGCCTCGCGGAATCGTGTGGCCGCGTGCCTCTTGGCCGGCGGGGGGCGGCGCCGTGCTCCTCCTGGGCCTCGGCGGCCGTGACAGGTGCGCGGGGGCCGACCCGCCCTCCGCCGCTGGCCGCGGGCTGGGATGAGCGGCGGGCTCCGGCCGGGCGGCTGCTGCGCTCGGCGCGCTTCGCAGCCACTGACCTCGCGGGAGAGCGGTCGCCGCCCCTGAGGAGGAGAAGCCTGCTCCGGCGACCTCGGGCATGAGCTGAGATCGCGCCGACATGAACCTGCACCAGGTGCTGACCGGCGCGGTGAACCCCGGCGACCACTGCTTCTCGGTGGGCAGCGTCGGCGAGCGGCGCTTCACGGTGAGTGCGCGGCCGGAGCGGCCTTGAGTGCAGGACGGAGCCGGGCGCCGGAGCCGCCCAGGCCCGCAGGACCTGGCCCGAGAGCCGAGGCGGCGCGACGCCGGGGCAGGGCAGCGGTGCAGAGCCTGAACTCGGAACGTTGTAGGGAGTGTGCGTAATTCCTGGTTTTCAGTCTGGTCCCCTTGGGCCGGGGTGGTTTGTCAAAGTGTTCCTGTGCGAAAGTCTTTGTTGATAACTAGTTGGGGGCTTTACACATTCCTGTTCCATAAGCCTAAGTTGTCAAATGTAGAAATAGTTGGAATTGGTTTCATTTTTAAATTTTGACATAAGGTCAGTACCTTTCTGAGTGTATGTATTCTGAAACAATTATTGTTTGCTGTCAATAGTGATGCTGAGTAAAAATACAGTGAAACCTGTGCTCTTCGTTTTTCTTCAAATTCACTGAATTACTTTGGAAAGAAAAAAAGTATTTTCCAAGTATTTCATTCCTTTTAATTCCTATGTAACAGTGTAGTATTGTACTCTTTAAAATTTTGTATTTAAGATCTTCAAATTAATCACTGAATGTTATTACACCAGCGACTTTCAAAAGAACTCTTCTTTGCTGTGGAGTAATAATTTCTGGTTAAGGTTTTCTCAGGAGCTTTCATAAAGGTCTTCCCTGCTACTGGAAGGAATATGGCCTCCCATTTCTAGCTCTTTAACTGTGTAGCAGCATTTCTTACCGTAACTACAATGTAATTTTTATAGTTCAAGTTACAAATCAGTATGGTACAAGAGACCTTTTGTCTCAACTTACTTGTAATACTGATGATGGTTTTTGTTTAAACTTGTCTTGTGATTAAAAGTAAAACTCAATTTTATATAAATGAAACAAAGTAAATAGCTTAACAGACAATACTGTTGTCTACCTTTGACTTTTTTTGTGGCCTTTGTTAGATTAAGCAGTACTCAAAATTTAACTTGGTGTTGGCATTTAATGCCTAAACTGTACTTTTAGAGTTGTGCCAACCAGTCACTTTGTTTTCAGTTCCTGTGCCTTCTGTGAACTGACTCATGCCCACTTTTGTGCTTGAATGTTTTAATTGTCTAGAATCTGATTCTAAATGTTTAACCTGTGTCCTCAGGGGAAGAGTGAGTGCTGAGGGTCTGGGTGAGCTGTGGTCGTCCTATAGCTGAACACTGCTGTTTATATTTAAAGGTAGGAAATAACACTTAGGGTTTTCTTAGTTGGTAGATTATAGGAGAGTAACATTTTCTGGCATAGGAGATTATAGGACAATAACATTTATGTTTTCTGGCATCTTCTCGAGTTATTTGAGCACTTTCTCCAATGTAAATCCTAAGGATTTATAAAGAAGGCATTCAAAATTTACATAGTTGAGGGTGCCAGGGTGATGGCTCAGTGGAATAAGCGCTTCCCTGGCAAGCGCAAGGGCCTGAGTTCAATCCCCAGTTCTGGAAAAAAAAAAATTACGTAGTTGGTGTTGTGAACCTCAAAGTCCATACAATTTGATGGCCTATTTACATACCTGAATGGATTCCTCTATAAAACTTTGGTGAATTGCCTCCTTGTTATTTTTAAGGAGAGGTCAGATAATGTGCCAGGGATTATATGGTCATCCTACACCATTATGTAGCTTGTTGTTCAGTTCTGCTTAAAGTCTGTTTCCTTAAAGAAGGCTCTAATTATCTCCCTGCAAGCATAACTCCCTATTTCTCCCAGATCTCTGGAAGCATAGTAGTATACTACATATGTACTACATATATATAATATGTACATTATTTTTGTTAGTTGTTTAAGGGTCATCAATCAATTTTTCCATTGCAGCCAGTCCATCCCTGACTTTTTATTACTAGGCTAATAGTTATGTTATAAAACTAAGGTTCTTGTTCTCATTTTCTTGAATACTTGCATATCTTAAATTTAGCTCTTTCTCAGATTAAAAAGCAACATCTAGCAGAGTCTGTTGTTTACTCTTTGAGTTTTGTTTTTAGCTCTTGAATTTTCTTCTTCTCTCCCCTTCCCATATTGGGAATGGGACCTAGGGCCTTGTGCATGCTAGACCAGCACTTCTCTACTGAGATGCGTTCCTAGTCCAGATTTTGATTTCTTCTTTTGATAAGAAGATAGCGAAGACTAATAGATGGTATGTAAAGACTAAAAATCTCTTTCAGCTGCACTTTCACCCAGAGAAGAGGGTGTAGGAGTATGAGACATTCCTCTTGCAGACTCCCTTGAAGAATTATTTGTGTGTCCTGGTACTTGTCTCTCTCAGTCCTGTGTAATTTCTTCCATTACACTTTTGCAAATTCACCTCCACTTTCCTTGGAAGATTACAAGTAGAAATCTTACTTTTTTCATAAATCTGACAAATTTTAAATTGAAATGAAATTGAATGCCAGTTTTTATGTTTTCTTGATTTTAAAATATACAGTTACCAGTACAGGTTAATATATTTCTTCTTATCATTATTATTATTATTTTACTCCTTAAACTAGTGTCAAGGTAATTTGACTTTGCCCTTTGTAAGAAGGCTTCTCTTTGGCAGCGACCGTGTCTCATACTTTCAGAGCACCTTATTTGTGTCTTATTATGTTGCTAAGCAGTCTTTTTTTTAAAATGTATTTAGTATAGGGTCTGCATGGTCTCACTACAGAGATTGGTTTTGTAGTGATCCTCCTGTTTTCAGCCTCCCGAGAGCTGGGATTACAGGCATGCGTCACCATGTCCAGTCTCACTATCTCAGTGTGCCCCGGGGGTGGGGCCCGCTGCTCGGGGATAGAACACTGGCCTGAGTCTGCCTAAGCAGGTGCTTTAATCCGCTGAGCTATCTGGCTGGCCCCGCCTCGCAGTCTTGTTTTCTGTTTTTTGTGTCTTCCAAGGCTTCAGTGTGAGTGCCTGGGCCAGTGACTGAGAGTGTGGTGATACTAATAGTTGAATCAGTATCTCTTATTTCTAGCATTGTCCCTTGTTATATGAGCAAGCTTTTTATAATCTTTAAATTTCTTTTTTTCTTATGTGTAAAATGAGACTAAAATAATACCTGCACATAGGGTTGTTACATGAAACAGTGCTAAGCTCTTAAGTTCATAGCTTACTTATATTTAAAAACTGAACACAAATGTTCATCCTGCCCTCTTTTTTAAGTGTCATAATAAACAGAGGATGTTTTGTTACTTATACACATTGAATATATATTTTATATCAGCCCAAGATTATTCTACTTCAATCAGTGTGGCTTAACTGGCTTAAACTGTGGCTTAAAATGTTGGAAACTCCTGCATATGTCAACTACTACAAAATCAAGAATGTGTTCATTCGAGTGCTGGAGAGTAGCAGAGTGTGTGGTGATTGCGTTGATGAGCAGTGAATGGATGAAGAAGGCTTGCAGCAATGCAATTACTAACTGCCAGCATTATAAAACAAATTTTATAATTTAGACTTGAATATTAGTAAAACATTTTTTTGTTAAAATTTCTGTAGATTTTAAGTGAATAGTTACACATTTTATCATCAGCATAATATGAACAACTGAGTAGACTTCTGTTACTCTAAACTGAAATTATTTTGTCTTTGGTTACTAGAATGCTTTCAGAAATATTTGGTACAGGGTCTTGCTATGCAGCTCATACTTGTATTGATCCTCCTGTTTCAGCCTTCCCCAGCACTGTGATTAACAGGGACACAACTATGCCTGGTTTCAGTGGCTGGCTCATTGTGAGGTCAGCATGGCATGGCGTACTGGGAATCAAACATGTATATTTCTGTAGTCCAAGCTACTTGGGAAGTGAGGATGAGAGAATTAGTTGAAGCCATGAGTTTGAGTCCAATCTGGGTAATATAATGAGATCATGTCTCAAAGCAACAACAAAAAATTATCATGCTAAGAATCAATTTTCATTATGTGCTTGATGAAACATATATGATTTGGTTGTTTCTTTGTATCACTTTAGTCTGAACTTAATAAATCTAATGTTATGTGTGTCCCGGAGTACACTTTTCATTATTTATTAATAGATTATTTGTTATGTGTATCCAAAAGTGTGTTGTTCATTGTTTGGTAATAGACTAGTCTATTATATATCTTTTGACAGAAGCATTTGGCTTACCAATTGTAATCTCTGCATAGTACTGCCAATTTGGGGAATGGGGATTGAATTCAGGGCATGACGCATGCTAGGATTGTGCTCTGCTGCAAGTTATACCTACAACCTGTTGTTATTGTTGAGATGTTCTTCCATATTGTACTGTAGCTTGAAGGAAGTTTTTGCAAATAATTTCAGGTAATCTGTTAAACTGGTTTTGATTTGGAAGTATTACATATTTTATCACATCTTAGATTTTTAGTTAAAATCAGATAGATGATTTAAGACTTTAATGTTAAGTGCATTATTTTATATTCATACACAGCCCTTTTTATTTTTTTAATGGTGGTAGGGATCAAACAAAGGACCTTGCACACGTTAGACAAGTGTTTGTTTTGCCAAATCCAGTTGTCAAATAAGATGTTGAATTACACCTCTAACCTTCACAGCCCTTGTAAAATTTAGAGCTATTGTCCCTGTTTTACTGCTGTACTTCTATAGTTACACTTCATGAAGTAATATAAGTTCTAGATGTTGAACAAGTTATAATTATTATATCTATAAGAAGTTGTAAGTATTTTGAACTAATTTTTGAGGTTTGTATTACTTATAGACTCCAAAATGAAGAAGCCATGGCATTGTTTTCACTATTCACAAACTTTCTAGAAGTACGGAGAACATGGAAACTGGAGATTTAATATGTCCAGGTTTGTTTTTGGTTTTTTTAGAAATGGTACCCATTTATTTTGGGCCTAGAACTTCAGTTACTTTTTTTCTTTATAATGCTGGAGATTGAACTGAAAGCATCATGCATGCTAGGAGAGTACTCAGCCAGTGAGCTACAGCTGCAGCCCTAACTGGCTATCAATTAGCTTCTCTTTTTTTTTTAGTGCAAATTTATGAGGTGTTTA